ACTAAGAACTAAGAATTCATCTGACAGGTGCACAAATACTGCACGGAGTTTCAAACTATAGGTTCCATTGGACTCAGTTGGTATTTCTTTCAGATTTTTGAGAAGCACCTACTTCTCAGGTGGCTACATCCTATATACCTCAGTAGGAGCTAGTTTATCAACAATTACATCCTTAATAAAGTACAAGCACATGCAGTATTGTTGTTGCCAACTATTTCATGAAATAAAAGCCCGTCTACTAATGTGCATGGATTTCTTATCTTAACAAATGCATAGAATAATCAGTTGAAGTGATGAAGATTACTTAGCTGGATAGTTTTACTGATTTTTTTCAATTTCGAGTCTTTCTCTTAATGTCTTATGATAGAATGAACAGGAGGATATACAATACTTTTGGGTCTCTACTTTATAGTAGTATACTCAGTATCTCGTGTAAAATTAGAAGATTACTCTAGGACCCCTAGGAGGAGGTGGAGGACAGTTCAGCGAGTTAGAATGACTTTACATGTGATTGTGATCATCAAGAATGCTATCTTGTATAGATGCTGGTAAGCTGCCTGGCTAATATACTCCAGAAAGTTTTTATTCTGATCATCAAGAATGCTATCATCTTGTAGATACTGGTTAGCTGCCTGGCTAAGATACGGCAATCTTTGCTATATATTAATCCTTCTTTAGTCTTCAGTAGCTATGGAATACATTGAGATGCATGCAAGAATATGTAGTCATTTTGGGTTGTGTGCGCTTCAAGATAGCAAATGAGCAGGGCCTGGTAATGGTCTTATGAAATAGAAGATAGTCGTGACTTGTTGATTGGAGAAAATAGTTCTCTTTGGATCTTTTCTTGGGGATGATTTACAGAGTTATGTTTTGTACTTCTAAAGAAATAGCTCATTGGACTTCAACATATAGGGTCGCTTTAATGGTACTTCTACCTCTTCTGGTAAAAATAGTCTAGAGGTTGGGGTAGCATGTAAGATGCTTTATGATGCTCTTTTGCTAAAGTCTTATCTGTTAATTCTACTATCTTTCTTGAATCGCTCAGCTGTAGTGACTGAGATGTCATCATAATGGAATATCCTGTACGTCTTTTCCAGCTAAAGCAATATGATATAACATAAGTAATATTGATCACATGCTGTCTTTATTTCGACACAATTTTATCATCTTTTTCATTATAATTGCATTGTAATATTGTTCCAGTTTCTCCCTAATTTTTGTAGCATATTGAAATATAAAAAATTAAATCTTCCTTCTACTTTTAGTCCATATACTTGTATTCTTTGTAAGGTATATACTTATAGTTTTTCAACCATGAGTTACTGGAAAGTTACATACATGCCTCAGTCTACTTTGTGAATCAGTTTTCACATTTAAAATATCTATATGTGGAAATAAACTAATGTGTTGTAAGTTAGAATTTAAGCTTGAAAGCATTACTTGGACTCTGGGCCTCAACTATTAGCCATCTGCAAAAGTTGAGGACTTTGCCCTTTTAGATGGTGGAGGCATTAGTAGATGAGCATGGTGCTGTTTTTTCTTTCTGTACTAACAAGAGCTACTTTAACGGCCAACTTCCCCTTTAAGGTTGGTACCTCGAAAAGTGATTTGCTGAACCACATGTCTCTGAATTTAAATTGTGAGAGTCATATTTGAGTATCATAACCAGAGAAAATTCTAGCCTTTTAACGTATAAAATAAATTTTAAGATTTTGCTTTTGTGAGATACTTGTAAATATGACCATTAGATTTTAAATGAGATTTAAGGCATTTAATGGATTATCTTCATTTCTTAGTGAGAAAATGGAAGGAGAGCATATAGAGCTAAAAGTGGAGTGTGTATAGCACTCACCTCTGGAAATTGTAGCACTTTTTTGTTTGTGAACTCATTGCAGCCAACCATCAAGGGTTTAAGTTGATTCTAGTGGTTAAATTGACTAGTTCTATAGTATTTTTCAAACAACAAAAATACTCCTTCCATCCTACTTTATGTTACACCATAAGACTATGAAAGAAATTCAAAAGGTTAATTTGATTCATAGGTTGTATTAGAAGCAGTAGAAGATAATATTGACATAGTTGTTGAAAAGTTAGTTGAGAAAATAACATAGAAAAAGTTAACTTGAACAGTTAAATGAACTAACACTTTTTTTTGAAAATTATGAGCATTTTATGATATTATTTTACTATTTTCATCTCAAGTTAACCATTCTTTCTATGTTGGATTGTTCCAATATGTTTCCCCTTCCCTAAAATGAAAACTAATTCTAAAAATTGTTCCATTTTTTCAAAATATTAATTTATCTGTACTTTTGAAATTTAAAGCTCTTACCTTAATAATTGCGACAAAAGTAGATGATAGTCCTAAATTTAGATGAAGGGATTCTAGTAGAATCGTTGAATGTATTTGGATGTCCTGAAATAGAAAGATTGCCGTATTAATTGGGATGGATAGAGTAATAGTTAAGTTCTGATGATCAAGAGCTTAGGATAACCATCTAAATTGCAATCATAAATTATCCCAAGGTCAGCTAATATTGGATAGAGGGAGTATAATGTATGTCATGACTGCCAAAGTTGCAAGTCTTTTGGTGTAAAGCTTCATAAGAAATGTGAATTATACTGGGAAAGATGAACTTTAGTTGTCGTTATTTACCTCTCAGGTCACCACATGGAAGTCAGACAATCAGATTTAGGCCCCGAAGGCTAAAGAAATGTAGTTAGGACTTAGGAGTTAGTCATTCTCCCGAGCGGGGATATAATGTTTATAAATATACCTTGTAAATAAAGGGGTGAGGTAGACATGTAATTTACCTCTTAAGCATTGACATGAAGTCTTGTGATTAAGTTCAAATATGTGGAAGCCTAAAGAGGTAGGTAGGAGTTTGCCATTCTCGAAGGGATTCTATACCTGACAATGCGATTACCAAAGTTTCAAGCTTGTTTTGACCTACAGCCTACAGGTATCAAGTTTCTCACATATACCTTACAGGTGATTGCAATGCAGAAGCCCTTATTTACCTTTCAAGTAGTGACAAAAAAATCATACAATTGAATTCAAGTATGAAAGTAACCTGGATAGTTTCATAGGAGTTTATCATTCTTCAAAGAGGACAGATGCATGATAGAATCTGGCTTGAATTCCATGAATTTGCTTTTAACTCCTTGAATGTGCGTGTCATATACAATATCCACAATGTCTAATGAGCAGATTGTGTTACAATGGAAAGTGATCACTCATTTGATAAAGGGGTTAGCATCAATGAATAGCTAAAGAGATCCGTAGTAATTCATCCTTCTTTGAAGAGGAAGCACATGTGTAGGCTAGCATCAATTTCTGGAAGTGCCTGATTAATTATCTTCTTGAGAACTGAAACCGACTAATTGACTATTTGAGTAGATACTATCCTTGTTTTTCAAATCATTTTTAGCACCAAGCTACACCGAGTATGCTCTAAGTTGGTGTGATTAGGCGTCATTTCGTAGCTGGTTAGGAGCTAAGTTATTCATGTATTAAATCCCACATAAGTAATACCATGTTTGGTTTGTTATTTAGAAATCTGCATGTATAAGTTATGACGGAAGCTATATATTTAACTAAAAGATATATAACTAAACCCTGCATAAAATAATATATAGATTCCTTATAACTAATCAATGTATTACTAATATCTGCATACCTCTAACCAACTACCAAAGGACCCCAAACACATGAAAAGAAGTGTTTTATTCCTATTGCAAGATTTGCACGCTTCTTTGTCCTCTTTCATGTATTGACATTTAGCTTTTTTTATCCACGACTTCATCAGACATGGAGCCAGATATTCACTTCACAATTGCTTTCCTGGGGCTTTAATCCACACTGATTCTGTTGATGAAGATCTTCCTTGCCCCTAATCCACCCTCAAATAATAACTATAAATTAAAAATAGTAGGAAATTGTAGAGTTCTTCCCAGCTCTTTTCGGTGGTTTGGGGATGGCAATGGCATGCTACACAGAAAGGAGATGTGTATCTTTTTCAACAAAAAAAAAAACATGAGAAGGAAATATATCTTGTTCAATGACTGATTTATGTTGCTAATTTTGCTGGCAGGATGTTGGTCTATGGTTGGAAGAAATAAATCTTGGTGGCTATCGTCAAATTTTCAAAGAAAATGGTGTTAATGGGGAGTACTTGGAGGGTATGTCTATGTTCACGACTGAACAGATACTAAGGTTTATAAGAAGGTGTCACATGAAATGGGGAGACTTCATAACACTGTGCAAGGAGCTCAGGAGGATAAAAGGTGCATCTAGTCCCCTACCCCTTCCATCTCTCTCTTTCTTAATTTTATCTGTTATCTGTTTCACTGTCTCAAGCATGACTTAGTTAATCAAAAAGATACTGTTACCAGTAACCATTGATAAACAAAACATCAGTGAATCTTCTGTTGCTATATAGGATGACCATAATGTTAATGTATTTTTTACTTTACTTTAGTACACTTGCATTGATTCAACTCGTTTCATGTAGTGGCTTGCTTGAAGGGAGAGCAAAAAGTTCGCCAACCTTGGTGGGCACCGTCATGTCTCTCTATAGTATTTACCAAGGTGGCCAAGCGTAACAGGCAATCTAGAGTGGTTTCACTGAAGCTGGAACCTTGACACTGATATTGCCCTCGTGTATGTATGTTTAAGTTGTATCTTAAGAGGCTACGTATAATTTTTCGCTTTTTCTTTTTGGTTGGTTCTTCTTTGGAGAACTCCCTCCCCTGTCCAAGCATTTCTTATACATAGTTTTGTAGTCTGTCTTTGTTCTAAATTAGTTTTAATGAATATATACTTAAATGAAGCAAAGAGATACACTTATGTAAATCTCAACCTGCACTATTGATAATGAAACAAAAATTGATACTCCAATACTTTGGTGCAGATTGGATGTTATTATAGAAATTTGTTTATTTTGTAGTGCCACTGTCCACCTTATGCCAAACAGTTCTACATTTTCAAAAAAACATCGAATCATTATTTTATTGTCTTAGCTTTGATGTTTAAAGAAAGTTGAGCTTTGTATTAAAATTAGTTATAATAACGTTTTTTCATTATATAATCTCCGTATACAGTTTAACTAATAAAATGTTAGGTTTCTATTGTTCAATTCCATCTAATGTATCGAGTCTTACTTTGTATTTCCTTTTCAAAACCTGGCTCCACTCCTTTACACTAGCTCGCAAAGGTAATTTGTACTAGGCAAGCTTCGTGCAACGAGCTTGATCCGAAAGGAAAATTCATTGCTTCTGTTGACAAGGAGTTTCGAATTTGAGACCTGCAACATGAAAGTACTAAGCCCAAACCATTGAGCCATATTTACAAGAGGTCACGATCTTCTTGTCGCTTAGAACCAACTCTTATGGGATAATTTCTAAGAACATGTGCAATTAATTACCATAACGTAACTCTTCTAAATCACATTTAACTCTACAATGCTTGTGGCGTTTTCATTTCGTAAATGTGATATTAATTACATTCATTAACAACGTATGTTACCGTACCACTCACTAATCTATAGTATTTAAATCGTCCTAAACATCACAGATTATTCATCCAAGTGCTAATTAGCTCAGCTTAAAACACACACGAGAAGGTATGAAGCAATTCTCATCTTTAATTTGTTATTAATTCTACACAATTATATATTCCATTCTTATAATTTTGCTTTTTTTTTTTTTTTCATATAGTACGAGTACTTACTAACGAGGCTGTGGTACTTACTGGTGCAGTGTTAGCAGCAAATAGGAAGATGAGTAGCAGGTTGATTTTTTTGTTTGTTGTGTGTGTTCTCGTGCAAGCGACATATGCAAGGAAGCTTCTTCAGTTTCCATCAATGGACATCCCCGGCATTGGCGGACTTGACAAAATTATGGGAGGTATTGTAGGCGGCGGTGGTGGTGGAGGTGGAGGCGGAGGAGGAGGAGGAGAGAATGGTGGATCTGGTGGAGGGATGGGAGCTGGCTATGGTAGTGGATCAGGTAGCGATGGAGGCGGAGGCGGAGGCGGTGGCGGAGGAGGCAATAAGAATGGTGCATATGGTTGGGGAATTGGAGGTGGCTCTGGTAGAGGATCAGACAGCGAAGGAGGCGGCAGTGGTGGTGGTGGCGGCGGAGGAGGAGATGGTGCATCTGGCTGGGGAACAGGAGGTGGCTATGGTAATGGATCAGGTAGCGATGGAGGCAGCGGAGGCGGCGGCGGCGGAGGCGGCGGCGGAGGTGAAAATGGCGGTAATGGTTTTGGTATCGGAGCAGGTGAAGGTCATGGAGTTATGGCGGCAATTGATCCAATTGAAGTTTAAAATAAAGCCTCTTTATACGGACGGTTTAGGTGATCACTGATCACCTGATTTTTCTCAATTTTTTAGAAATTAGAATTAAGAATAAATAAAGACAATTGTCATTAAACCATATATTTTCACTAAAAATAAATGGTGTAATTCATAATTTTGTGAATTTTGAGCTGAGTTATGTATTGACTATTGAGTACTTCTCATTTGACAGATGGTACCTACAATAATACAATAAAATTAAATTCAATAAATTTATAAATTTTTAAAAACACTCTATTTTAGTTACTGCATGTTACTCTATTTTTATTTTTAATAATGATAAAAACGAGCTTCAATCTATCAATTCTAATTATATTTGAATATAATATAATTTCTTCATATTAAGTCACAAAACGCACTCTGATGGTCACCTTCCATCAATTCTTTAAGTTTCAACCTTGCTACTGTACTCTCTCAAATCCATTTGATCCACCCATTTTAGTTAAGTAAAATTTGGACTGATTATTAACCTACCAACTTAATACTTGAGCCTATTTTTAGATGTTCAAATTAATTCAAAATTATTTATTTGCCTATTAAGTATATTTTTTAAAATATAAGTAGTACAATATAAAATAAAAAGGTATAAATATTTTGAACTGACAAATAGAATAAGATGTATATTTACCGATCATTTTAACTTTTGTCATGAGTCAACTTAAACTAGCGGAATATAGCAGGATTAATTCATCAATAAATACAACTATTACTGCTTTGTTAAATTTTAAACGAATTCAACAAGTTACAATTTATTGAGTTGATTATTTACCATCTTTAATTATATCTAATTAAAAAACAAAGCACTTCACAATCTCCTTTCAAAATAAAGAAAGGGTAAAATGCAAAAAATAAAAATGAATAAAAAACCACACAAAGAAACAAAAATATCCAAATCGTTATCATATTTTTGAAGAATTTAAAAGTCTTTTTTTAAATTTCTAATTTCTTACTAGTGAAAAATTCTATATTTAAGTTTCACCAATAGAGAAACTAGCAAGCATTATGGGTTTTTTTTATGCATAACACTCGATACATATGCATAAAGATTTATTTGAGAATATTCATTGATATTTAAGAAAAAATTGGTCTAAGTTAGGGATTGGATTATGGCATATGTTTGCGTTTACTAAGAATTTTTTATTAAAAATTAATAATTGTAATGATTTATTTTATCATGATAAAATTTTAAAAAAATTATTTCATTTTATCAGTCAAGATTACAAATTCATTGAATATATCCGTCTAGATTGTATGTGATCCAAAATATTTAAGGATATAGCAAACTTGTTATGATCTTAAAGTTTCATGATCTAAAAGGTCGTAGCACCTCTAAAAAAATGACAGTGAATGTATATATACTTAGCAGAATGAGATCTCATTTATTAACGAAATTAACCAGACAAATCATTCAACCAACCAAGAATGACCCATAAAATCAATAAAGAGTTCTCAGTTTAATAATCGTTGCTATATTCAGAATTAATAAGTTTCTTCAAATTAAGTAAAATTAAGTTGTAGGATCCATTCCAAATGACGTCCACCACCAAAGTTTCAGGCTTGCATAATCATAAACCCACTTTGATTCTCTCATTTTAGCCAAGTAAAGCTTGCAGGGGGCAGGGTCATTAGCCCCCCTATTTGATAATTAAGCCGATTTTGATTTGTCCAAATTTAGCTAAAAATTCTTGCACTAATATTTTTCTAAATGCAAGTGATACAATATAATCCATAACAAAAAGTTATAAATATGTTCAATTTTCTTATTTGATAATAAAATAAGTTATTGTATATTCACCTGTTATGTCTCATATCTAAATTTGTCACAAGTCAGTTTAGACTAAAAGATATAACATGTCAAGTTAGACATTGTGGCGAAGTCAGAATTTTCATTAAGGGACTCAAAAAAATAAATAAGTACTTTAGTAATATTCAAATTTAAGCCATTGAGTCACATTTGAACGGATCGAATCAAATATAAATAACTAAATGAAATTCAACTCTACGTCAACAAGAAAAATAAGACATGAAAATTAAAAAATAATATTACAGTCTGTTGAAAGAATAAGCAGCAACAAGAAGCCAAAATAAGGTAAAAATAGGTTGCTACTTGAATTCGAACCCACAAAGCCAGAATAGGCAGCAAAAACAAGCCAAAATAATAAATTCACTTCACCACTTAACTAAGGGCCCGTTTGGATGGGCTTAATAAAAGCAGTTTTAAAAAAATACTTTTGAAAATATTGAAACTTATTTTTAAAATAAGCAGTTATGTGTTTGGATAAAAGTGCTGAAGTTAAAATGTCTGAAATACCCTTAAAAGTTGTTAACATAATAAAAGTTAATTAATTTATATTTTACAGCCATAAATAATTATATTTTGCTATCACTCACATATTTCTTTCTCATCACAAATTATTTATAAGAAGAACATAAACTTATTATAGATTTTAAATAT